ACAATTAGACACGCCAGGGAAACTAATGACAAGACAATAACCCAAAGGAAAACATGACATGGAAAACAGCAAAAACACCCAAACCTACAAAACTATAAACGTGACATAACATGAGAATCGTGACAGGTTTTCACTAAGTAATGTTTTTCTTTTATGTAGAAATACCTAATTAGAGTCAAACTACTAGCTTATTGGTCATGAACAAGACTTCACTTTAAAATAGGTAACATGTTCTTAGATATAAATACCTAATTTTGAGTTATTTAGACACAATTAACACTTATAGTTTCATGATGTAAGAATAGATCATATTTGTTAAGTGTTATTATGGCAGAATTACTTTTCTTATACTACTGCCTTATTAGGCCCATATTGAGCAGTGCATATTAAGACCAAAACTCATGTACAACAACTTCCTTACTTCCAATAAATAAGCACTAATTAGAGGGTTATTGAGGAAAAACTCTCAACTAATGGCCTATTACTTGTAGAATATGGTCATGTAGAATAAGGCAATAATAAGTGTTTTATAATGACTAATAAGTAGCCAATATACTGCTAATATGCGTAATTAACAACTAGTTGATGGTTCATTTGTGTACCTTAATATAAAGTGTTACCGATTTTTTTTTTGCAAACAAAAGCTGTGTGCGAAGTATAAAGAAATATTTTCTGTCAGATAAAAAAAAACAATCACGTTATACTCCTTAATCTCTTTTTCAGAATTGCAAGCCTATCTAAAATCTTCCCGACCTTGATGCTGTACAAACTGTGGGAGGACGGGAAGATTGGCTCCCTGGATGACCCTCTGGAGAAATACGTGGAGAACTTTACCATCAAAAACCCCCTAGGGAAGTCGCGGGACTCGGAGCTGAAGTACGTGACAGACGGTCTGATATTTCTTGACAGTGGGGAGGTTCAAATCCGCTCCTCTTCAGTCACTCTGCGCAGGATGGCCAGCCAGCTCTCAGGTAAATACAAAGGGTTAGAGAGCCAGCCTCTGTGATATAACACAAGGCATTGAGATGCATGCACATATTGTATATACTGTAGTATGTCCCTTAGGTCTTAGTTAGTTTAACTTTGGACACATCTAAACCTTCAGGAGCTGACTTATGAAAGTTAACAGTTGTATAAAAAAATACATTTAAATAAAAGACGAATACGAAGAAGAGGCTTGTGGTATATTTTTGTTTTTTTAGCTTGTTAAATGTTAACATACAGGTTGCAGCTTCTTATTTCAAAGGATCAAAGATTTTGCTTTTGTTTATTGATTTTAGAGCTAAAACTATCAGTCAAATAATTTATATAATTCAGTCAATCAACAGAAAATGATCATGCAACCTTTCTAATCATTGTTAAGGTCATATTTAAGCACATTATGCCAAACATTTCATATAGTATATCAAATAGTTTGCAATCAATCAACTGTTTGAGAAAATAATTGTTTATAACTAACTATGATAATAATAGTATACATTCTTGACATATGTTAATACTCACTCATGAAACACTCTCTTTCAGCAGTTATCCATATATTGACTCGGCAATAGAGTTTATGTTGCCATTCACAAACAGGCACTTGCTTATTTGAAGAGGCTTTCAATTTCTGAAATGAATATGAATAAAATATGAAAGAAACTCCAAGGACAAGACAATTATAAATCTTTCAATATTGGCATAGTCCCATTTGTAGCGGCCGTGACTGACGAATACGAACAGTGGCACATTGCTGCATGTCATCATCTCTCCAACTTTCCAACCCATCTGTCTGTTCATCTAGAGCACATGTGTCAAACTCAAGGCCCGCGGGCCGAATCCGGCCCGTCTACAATTTTGATCAGGCCCG